TTTTCATTATAAAAATATCCCTGAGTGCATTTACATGTATTTCTGGATTTTTTTTCTTCTGTTCTGTTGGTTTTTCTGTCTAATCCAGCAGATCTCTGAGTTTGAGGTCAGAGTTGTCTACAGAGTGAGTTCTAGGACAGCCAGGGCAACACAGGGAAACCCTGTCTTGAAAAGCCAAAAGCAAAAAACAGAAAAACAAACAAAAGCCAGTAACATACTGTTTTCATTAGAGCAGTTCTTAGCTAGCTAGTACAATTACCTTCTCCCTCTGTCTCATTGTATCTCTTTTCTAAAAATTTCCTTTTTGAAAATAGAAAATTACTATTTTAAAAGTTAAATATTAAAAATATTATTTAAAATTAATTTTTATTTATAGATAACTTCATACTTACATACCAAGTGTCTTAATCAGGTCCACTCACATGTCCCCTCCCTCCCCGACCCCGAAACACATTCCCTCCCCCCATCTTCATGTCTTTTTTTTTTTAATTCACTGATTCAATCTAGTGCATGGGTGTGGGTCTAGCCAACGGAGAAGCGTGACAGGGCCACAACCTCAACAGCCACCAGCTGCCACCAGTTCCTCAGCTAGGGGCAGGGCCTTGAAAGGCCCCCCACTCTGTGCTGGAATTTTGACTGATTTGATTTGATTTTGGAAACTATATAAATAGCTGTGTCATATTTAGAAAGGGTTGTGTATATACAATGTGTGCCTGTGGGTGTGTATATACTATGTGTGTCTATGGTTGTGTATATACGATGTGTGTCTGTGGGTGTGTATATACGATGTGTGTCTGTGGGTGTGTATACACGATGTGTGTCTGTAGGTGTATTAAGAGAGTTTTTTCTCAACACTTCAATGTCCTATGTCATAAATAGTTTAAGTAATGGCAAAGATAAGCATCGCTGTACACTTTCTAAGATGGCAAGTTGGTTGGTTGAAAGGGCCAAGGAGTAAGCCCTCCACGTAATTGGAGGGGGTGGCTGATATTGAAAACTTGAAAGTTACCAGGCATGGTCAAGCACTCGGGAGACAGAGGCAGGAGGATCTCTGTGAGTTTGAGGCCAGCCTGGTTTACATAGTGAACTCCAGGACAGCCACCCTGTCTCAAAACAAACAAACAAACAAAAACCTTTAAAGTCAGCTTGGAATTTAGCTTTGGGATTTGGAAGTTGGATGTTCCACAGCTAATGAAGAGGGAGGCTGAACCTTTGGGGATGACATCCAAGTCCTTGGAAACAGCTCATACCGCAGCAGCCGGAGGACCAGGCTACACTAAGTTTATGTTGACAGAACCTGTCTTTCTCAGTTGGGCAGATTTTCCACACCCATGTGGTCCCAGGAATGCAGAAGTTATTCCAGGTATGTTGGCAGGCTGTAAAGATGCTACCCAAATTTCAGAGCGAGCTCTTGACCACCCCACAAGCTGGGCAGATCTCCCTTAAAAGTATTTTATTGCATTCATCTGTTTATCTGGAGAGGAAGTGGCCTGGCAAGCTTGTGGAAGTCAGAGAAGGACTGGCAGGAGCTGGCTCTCTCCTACCGGTGATGGTGGTTGGAGGCCGCTGTTTTCTGCCCACTGGGTCATCTTGCCAGCCCTAGAGTTCATTTCTAACTGGGAGCAGGCGCTCCAGGGTTTTGAAAGATTGGTGAACCGCACGTGTGAAACCTCATCTTCTCTGGGCCTGATTTGGTTGCTGAAATCCTAGACTCCCAGTTGAAGCCGTGGTGGCCTATATTTTGTATTTTCCTGTGGGAGGGATGTGGCCAGAGGGTAGGTTTTGAAAGGCTGGACTTTTCTATAGATGGCCCCAACCACACTCCTCATGTCCCACGGTGTGATTCTGGCACTTCTCCATGAGTATCTGTGTCCCCTGCTTTTGGAGCTGGGTAGGGCTTGTGGTAATGGCAGAAGCGATGTTATGTGGTTTCACAGGCTAGACCATAAATCTCAACAAACAATATGATAACAGGAGGTACCCATGCTGAAAGGAAGCCCTAGCAGGCCACTCATGCAGAACTGAGGAAATGACAGGGAGAGAGTGTGCACTCCATAACTACAGGATTTTTTTCTTTTAAATAAATTATCAAAGTATAATTTATAAGTTATAGAATATGCACAGGTTAGTCGAAAGAGTCTCAGTTCTAGTATTTTAGCCAGAACATCTTGTTTTATTCTTTTAATATTTATTTTAATTTTTAAAATTTGAGGCTAGGCCTTACTCTGTAGTCCTAGCTGGACTAGAATTCACTAGATAGCCCAGGCTAGTCTCAAACTTGCAATTCTCCTGCCTCAGCTGCCTAAGTGTTGAGGATTATAGGCATTCGTCACTGGTTGCACACAGCTGAAGAGAGAGGCTAAGTCGGTTCCCTCCTTTCACCATGTGTGGGTCCTGGGGATCAAACTCAGGTCCCAGGCTTTGCAGCAAATATCTTCACCCTCTGAGCCACCACGCTGGCTCCTGCACTCCAGAAATTAAGCTCTCTTATTTACTGCAGTAAATTTTCACACATGCAGTTAAGACTCAACCACGTGACTCACTGGCTCCTTTCCCAGCGCGGTTCCTTGTTTTCCCTCTCTGCTGTGTCCTTCACATAGTGGGGCTATAAATGTGCGCAGTGGATGGACCCAGATGTCCCAGCTGGGGAGACTCTTTATGCCTGTGACCAATCTCTTTCTTCTTCCTTCCGTTGGCAGCGGGAGAAAGGACATTACCTTGAGAGTTATTGGAAGTTCTGTTTCCTCCAGAGATGTTGTCTTTGGAGTAAATAGACCCTCATTTTAAAGTTTGTCTTCTCCACAGGACCTCCCTTATTTTCCCATCGGTTTTCTGAGCAGCATCTGAGCCAGGTAAGGCGGTGACTGCGCTAGCCCCTCCCCCTTCTCTGTCCTTGCCCTAAACCCTGTTGGGTCCAGCTCCCCAGGCTTCTCCTGCTTTGAAGCCCACCTTTGCTTGCTTATGTCCACAAGCACGGATATCTGACCACTCCCATCGTTGTAGAAATCCCCAGGTCCCCCATTTCTGAACCAAGCAGGGAAAATGACACACGCCTCATGCCTCTTTCCCTGTGACAACTTCCTGTCACCGCGACGCACCTTATCTTCCCAGAGTTACCCTCCAAGAGTAGTAAGGGCACACACCCATGTCTGGCAGCTCACAACCATCTTTAACTCTGCCTTCAGGAAGTAAATCTTAAGAAAAAGAAGCAACGCTCCTGGAGACTCTTTGAGAAACCCACACCCGTACTCTCAGGTGTGCCTTTCTTTCCCCTCATTTTAGTCTACAAAATTTAATTTGTTTCACGATTTTTGGTATGCATGTTTGTCAATGTACCATGTGTGTGGTACCCACAGGGGCCAGAAGAGGGCATCAGGCCCTTTGGAACTGGAGCTAATTGCGAATCCGGCGTCTCTGGAAGGGCAGCCAGCGCTCTTAACTGCTCAGTCATCTTTAAGCTTACGCCTGTTATTGTGAGTGACCTCAGAGCCAAGCAGCTACTATGCTGAGTAGCTCAGCTGTGCCCTCTTGCAAAAGGGTTATCCCAGCAGGGTTTTTTTTTGTTTGTTTGTTTGTTTGTTTTTGGTTTTGGTTTTGTTTTTTTTTTGGCTGCTTATACCCCCTCATAGAGGGAAAGGGAGGTTTACGGCCCTCGCCCCAGCAGCCAGCTGCTCCCTACCACCTGTTGTGGGCCTTAATTGCACGTGGCCTCAGGAAGGGACGAGCAGATATGGGAGAGGAGTGGAAGAGGAACTGCATCTCTGAAGCTATAGGGAAAGTCCTCATCCATGCAGGGGGAAGTTGTTCAGGCTCAGAATGTTGGGGGAGGAGCAGCCACAGCTCTGTGCTCGGTGCAGCAGCACAAAAAGCTCACAGGTCCCCCAGGGTGAACGTTAGGGGGACTGTGCCTCAGTTTGCCTCTGGGACTTCGTGAGGAGGGGTAGATGTTGTTTATGTTTCCTTCTTGGAGGGAATTTTAGCAACATTTATATTAAATATCTTTATTTAATTAAAAAAATAAACCGTGCTCTTAAGAGGTATGGTGACACATGCCTGTAATCCTGGAATTTGGGAAGCTGAGGCAGAAGGATTGCGGTGAGTTGCGGTGAGATTGCAGCCAGCCTGGGCTACAGTGTGAGCTCACATCTAAGATAAATGGGGGTGTGCAGGGGACACTAGAGAGGGGGCTCAGCACTTACTCTTTAGCCTAGGACAGGAGTGGTCCCAGGACCTGCGTGAGGAGGTTCGCAGCCACCTGTCACCCAACCCCAAGGGAGCTGACCTCTGGTTCCCATGCCCAGCTGCACTCATGACTCTACCCCCACCTCCCAGTTAAAAAAAATGCCAGGCTCTTCCTCTGTCTCATCTCCCTAGGTCTCACTTTTATTCCTATTAAGGCTCCCATGCTTGCCCTCACCTTGTTATATCATTGTTATTATGAATTTGATATATTAATGTGTGTGCTCACACATGAGAGGTCAGGGGACAGCATTGTGGAGTCGGGTCTCTCGCTTGTATGAACATTCTCGGGATCGGTCTCAGAGCAACAGCCTGTGTGACAAGTGCCTCGACGGACTCTTTTAACATTGTGGATTAAACACTGTACTTTGGAGTTTGTGCCTCCTCCTCCTCCTCCTCCTCCTCCTCCTCCTCCTCCTCTTCTTCTTCTTCTCCTCCTCCTCCTCCTCCTCCTCCTCCTCTTTCTCCTTCTTCTTCTTCTAGATTGAGACCACAGACTTGTTTGGAAATAGAACTGACTAAAGATGGACATAATTATAAATCCAAATAGCATCCTCAGGTTTTTTGAAGCCAGCTCCTTGGCTGCCTTTCTGAGTCATGCTGATTTTTAAAGCAGCCCATCCCATGATTCCCTGCTCCCATTTAGTTTTCCGTTTTTGTCATTATGTTCTAAACTTCCAAGAATTCTTTGTTCTCTGGTTGCTTATTTTAATCCAACAAATAGTTTTTGTTAGCTTTTAAATATATAATACACGTAAAAATTTCCATTTGAGTCATTTATTAGTTTACAGCTTGGTGGCAGGTAAGCAAGTGACATGTTTGTGTGACCACCACCACTGTAGATACCATCTCCAAGAAACGATGTGCTTACCCACCGAAGGCAGCTTCTTCGCTACTATCCCCCGCTCCGTTTTCTAGGAGTCCGCCTGTTCTGGGTATCTCATGCACTAAAATACACAGCCCTCTTCAGTCTGTTTCCCCAGCATACTCCCAGGGCTCCTCCGCGTTGTCACATACACTGAACCCCATTCCTTTTGCTGCCTTGTGTGGATACACATTTAGTACTAAGTTGTTCGTTACAATCCAGGTTTCCGTCGCTAATGGGGGCGGGGGTCATTTTGCACACCTCCCAGTGGAGAACTGGGATTGTTCTCCCTTACCCATTTCCAGGACACTGTCACTGATGGTTCTAAAGAGCTTGGGAGCGGAGGTGTGGGCTGATGCGATGGAGACTACGTGGGGACTACGTGGATTCCTCCAACATGTGCACAGGTCATCTTTAACATCCTCCGATGGGCCATCGCCTCCCCTCAGTACAGAGTAGGGCACCTGAGTACAGAGAAGGGCACCTGGCACTGTATGAGAGCGCGGGAGCCCCAGGCCCTTTCAGATCAGGCCCCAGGACTGAATCACTCACTGAGGGCATCCCCAAGAGTAAGGCGAGGGCACCTCCGGCTTGAGCAGTCGGAGAGACCGTGTGTACCTCGGGCTCCTGCCCACTGCTCTGTGCAGGACATGATGAGGTGGAGTCGCTCTCTCCGGGGCTCAGCCCCTCTAGTGGGAGCAGACAGCAGAGAGGTACGTGGCAGCGACTGGGTTACGGTGGCAGTTGGGATTTGCTGAGGGCTGCACCTGCCTCTTCAGGCTTCTCAGCAAGCTTCCTTCCTTCTCTTTATCGGCCTCCTAGGATGCAGCAGAGCTGGGATACTCCGGATATTCCGTCCGGGATCCTTGGGCCCACTGTAAGCCCGCTGCTCTACCAAGCTTCCTGGAGTCTCCTTTGAGATCAGCCTAGGATAGCTCGGCTCTCAACGGAAAAACAACCCTTCTTCCTGTTTTCTCCGGATGTATTTTCTCCGGTTTTGGATTTGCTGGAAGTGATTGTCTTTGTTGCTGCTGAATTATAGCCTGTCTCTCTTTACTCATTTCCGTGAGATCTGGGGAGTGAAACCTGAACTCAGTGAACTCAAGGGGTTGGAAAATTCGACTGCCTTACACTTTTCAGTGTCATTTCTCTTCCGCCACATTTCTTTTCTTTCTCTCTCTCTCTCTCTCTCTCTCTCTCTCTCTCTCTCTCTCTCTCTTCTTTTTTTTT